GCTTGCCTTGCATACACATGAGGCCCTTGGTTCTATTCCTCAGCACCATATAATCAGAAAAAAGCAGAAGTGGCGCTGTGGCTCAAGTAATAGAGTGCTAGCCTTGAGCTGAAGAGCTGAGGGACAGCGCCCCGCCCCAGAGTTCAGGCTCCACGACCGGACCCCCCCCAAAAAAAAAACGATACCTAAAAAAAATAAAAAATAAATAAAACAAAAAGATACCTGGGCCAGGTGCTAGTACTTTATGCCTGTAATCCTAGCTAATCAGGAGGCTGAGATCTGAGGATGGTTGTTCAAAGCCAGCACAGGCATGAAAATCTATAAGACTCTTATCTCCAATTAACCACGGGAAGACTAGAAGTAGAGCTGTGATTCAAAGTGGTAGAGCACTGCCTTGAGCAAAATAGCTCACCGACAGTGTCTAGGCCCTGAGTTCAAGCCTCAAGTCCTAGTAATAGCATACACACACACACACACACACACACACACACACACATATGCACATACGCACATGCATGCACGCAATGAAAAAGTCTGATTGTAAGTAGTCAGGTAAATTCTAAAATTTACTTGTGTCTGATTCAGTTTCAGCACTTTGAAATCATTTAATAATATTTTAGGCTATTCTTATTTTGTATAACTCCCTTGGTTCACTGTTTGAATTGCTACTTTGAAATAACAACTTTGAAATTTTTAGGTCTTGAAGATCTCTCTTAGCTATATGTAAAATATATAATATAGAATATATATTATATAATATGTATACGTATATAAAATGCTGATGTATTTTCAGCTACTTAAAGGATATCTCTACCAATAATTTCCTGTCTTTCCTCTGTATTCACCATTATTAGCTCTCTTACCTAGACTGCTAAGAGTCATCTAATGTTTTCTCTATACTTGGTCTGAGCCAAAGGCTCAAAAGTAATTCGAAGTGACTTCTCTAGATTCAGACATCCCTGTCATTTCTGAGAAACTTGTTTATGAATAATTTACATGGAAAACATTTCCTAAGTCCCTATTTACAAAAAGGACCTTATAAGACTTTTTTTTTTTGGTCTTTTGAACTCTGGGCCTGGGTGCTGTCCCTCAGCTCTTCAGCTCAAGGTTAGCACTCTACCAAATGACCCACAGTGACACTTAGAGTTTTCTGGTGGTTAATTGGAGATAAGAGTCTCACACTCTTTCCTGGGCAAGCTGGCTTTGAACCATAATTCTTAGATCTCAGTCTCCTAAGTAGCTAGGATTACAGGTGTGAGCCACTGGTGCCTGGCTTCTTAGAAGACTTTTGCATGTCAACCTTCTGCGCAGCTGAAGAAACATTTATTTTACTGTGTAATGTGTTAGCATAAAACTGGCAAATCTACTTTTTTCTCAAATAGAAGTTAATGTTTCTCACTCTTCACTTTAAAAAAAAGGTCCCTCATACATGTTGTTGGCTCATGCCTTTAATCCTAGCTACTTAGGAAACTGAGATCTGAGGATCACAGTAAAAGTGAGCCCAGAAAATTACCTAGCAAGCTAATTAGCAAAAAAGAAGCCAGACTGGAGATGTGACTCCAAGTGGTAGGATACCAATGTTGAGTGAAAAAGCTGAAGGAAAAATTGAGGCCATGAGTTCAAGCCCAGGTATTAGCATAAAAAAGCCTTCTACGAAATTGTGTCTAGCTATATTGTGCTAATAGTAAAATGTAAGTAGAAGAGTAGAGGTATAATGCTGTAAAAGGACATGATCTTACACTCAAGACTCTGGGCTTTGATAATAATGATAATTTCTACCATCGAAAAAATGAATTTTCACCTGACTTACGTAAATTGTGACCCCTTTATAGTAACAGTTTTTTGGGGGGCCAATCCTGGAGCTTGAACTCAGGGCCTGGGTGCTCTCCCTGGGCTTCTTTTGCTCACTAGCATTCTACCGTTTGAGCCACTGCACCACTTCTGGCTTTTTCTGTTTATATGGTACTGAGGAATCGAACCCAGGACTTCATGCAAGCTAGGCAAGCACTCTACCACTAAGCCACATTACCAGCCATATAATAACAATATTTTTTAACTTAAAAAAATAAACTTCCCAGGAGGCAGTGGCTCATGCCTGTAATCCTAGCTACTCAAGAGGCTTGAGATCTGAGAATCTCATTTAAAGTCAGTGTGGGTAGGAAAGTCCCTGAGACTCTTTGTCTCCCATTAACCAACAAAAGCTAGAAGTAGCCAGTGCTGGTGGCTCACACCTGTAATCCTAGCTACTCAGGAGGCTGAGATCTGAGAATTATGGTTTGAAGCCAGCTTGGGCAGGAAAGTCCATGTGACTCCTCTTATCTCCAATAAATTACACAGAAAAAAGCCCCAAATGGCACTGGCTCAGGTGGTACAGTGCTAGCCTTGAGCAAAAGAAGCTCAGGGACAGCACCTAGGCCAGTGTTAAAGCCTCAGGACCAGAAAAAAAAAAAGCCAGAAGTAGAACTGTAGCTCAAGTGGTAGAACACCAGTCTTGAGCAGAAAAACCTAAGGTCTAGTTCCCAGGCCCTGAATTCAAGCCCCAGTACTGGCACAAAAAAAGAAAAACTAAGTAGACAAACTGAAATACAAAACTCCTAGCATTTAAACCTTATCTGTCATTTGTATTAAAACTACTAGAAATAAAGTTAAAAGAATATTTCCCAATATAGCTGTAAAAACTATATATTCTCTCCAGCGCTAGTGGCTCAAGCCTGTAATCCTAGATACTGAGGAGCCTGAGATCTAATGATTGTGGCTCAAAGCTATGATGAAAAGTCCATTAATCTTCAATCACCAAAATGCCAGAAGTGGAACTGTAGCTCAAATGGTAGAATGCTAGGCTTCAAGAAAGCTACAGAACTGTCCCCAGGTCCTAAGTTCAAGCGCCAGGACTAGCGAACACACACACGCACACATACACATGCACACACACACACACACACACACACACACTCCTATTTCTCCTGGAGTGACTTGTTGGTTTTTTTTTTTTTTTGGTCAGTCCTGGGATTTGAACTCTGGGCCTGGGCACTGTCCCTCAGCTCTTTAGCTCAGGGCAAGCACTCTACCACTCGAGCCATAGCACTACTTCCAGTTTTCTGGTGGTTAATTGGAGGTAAGAGTCCCATGGACTTTCCTGCCTGAGCTGGCTTTGAGCCATGATCCTCTGATCTCAGCCTTCTGAGTAGCTAGGATTATAAGCATGGGCCACCAGCACCTGGCTTCTTTTTTAAATTACAATTTTATTATCATTAATGTAGTGGTATGAAAGAGTTACCATTCAACCAGAGTAAGTTGTTTTTAAGTTAAAAAAAAAGTTCTAACCAAAAGAAGAAATGAAGAAAGAAGGGAAGCAAAGAAGAAAGAAAGGAAGGACCTTCACACTGGAAAAATATAGATTTTAAGAGATTATGACATTATAGGGGCTGGGAAGGTGGCTCAGTGGTAGAGTGCTTGCCTTGCATGCATGAGGTCCTGGGTTCAATTCCTCAGCATCACATAAGCAGAAAAAGCCGGAAGTGGCTGTGGCTCAAGTGGTAGAGTGCTAGCCTTGAGCTGAAGAGCTGAGGGACAGCACCCAGGCCCAGAGTTCAGGCCCCACAACCAACAAAACAAAAACAAAAGAGATTATGACATTATCGACTAATTCTAGAAATTTTATCCAGTCTGAACTTGGCCCTGTCAGTAGCTTTTAGTTATTTGTATTCTTTCAACTGTATCAAGTGGTACTTAGAGATGATAATATTGCAGACACAGCTAAAATAGGACACGTGTGCTAGTCATATCTTCCAAGCCCTGCTGTTGGCAAAACTAGGAGAATGGAGAAGTGGTGTACTATGAACTATTCATAAATTATTATCTTCTGGCATTTAATACTGAAGTGGTATGCTTACCTATTTTACCTACAGTTCCACTTCTGGCATTTTGGTGATTGAAGATTAATGGCTTGTGGTTTTTTTAGGCATCTGTGGGAAAACTAGAATTGCAGAAGTAGGAGGTGTGCCTTACTTAATGCCTCTTGTAAACAAAAAAAAAGTAAGTGTACATTTTATTCTTCACATTCACATTGAAGCTGGTGGAAATTGGGTTGATTCCTGTTTATTATAAGAAAATTGATCAATGTAGCAAGCAAAGAAGTACGTTAAAATTTGGTTATAAAAAAGGAAGTTAGGCCAGGCGCTGGTGGCTCATGCCTGTAATCCTAGCTATTTAGGAGGCCGAGATCTGAGGATCGTGGTGCAATGCCAGCCCGGGCAGAAAAGTCTGTGAGACTTTTATCTCCAATAAACCATCAGAAAGCCAGAAGTTGTGCTGTGGCTCAAGTGATAGAGCACTCACCTTGAGCTGAAGAGATGAGGGGCACAACCCAGGCCTAGAGTTCAAGCCCCATGACCAACAAAAGAAAAGAAAAGAAAAAATATAGGAAGTTATACTCACAAGATACTGTGTCGAAATGAACTTTACACCTTGGGGGGGGGGCGGGCTGTGGCAGGGAGTGGGGGAGAGAAGAGATGGTGGGAGAACAACAAAGGAGTGGGTAACAATGCTCCACAGGAAATGTACTTGTTACTTTACTCATGTAACTGTGACCCTTCTGTACAGCATCTTTACAATAAAAATTTTAAAAAGTCATAAAATTTGTACGTTCTGATTTAAATATGTTTGTCCTCATTATAGGTTTATGATCTGAATAAGATTGCACAAGAAATCAAGCTGCCTGGAGCTTTTATTCTTGGAGCAGGGGCAGGACCATTTCAAACTCTTGGGTTCAATTCTGAGGTCAGCACACACATAATTCTTCTGTCAGTTTCATGTTTGGTTTGTCTTTTCTTTTTACTGCCCTATCAACAATCCTACTTTTTTGAGTAAATTTTAAGTAGTTGAAATCATACCTTTCTACATATGTACAACTATTTGATACAGATTTGAACTATAGCACATGCTCCAACAGGTAAAACAGTAGTGGATCAGTAATCTTTATGTTCAGATTTTCTTTTTTGTCAGTTGTGGGCCTTGAACTCTGGGCCTGGGTGCTGTCCCTCAGCTCTTCAGCTCAAGGCTAGCACTCTACCACTTGAGCCACAATACCACTTCTGGTTTTCTATGGCTAATTAGAGATAAGAGTCTCAGACTTTTCTGACTGAGCTGGCTTTGAACTGTGATCCTCAGATCTCAGTCTCCCGAGTAACTAGGATTACAGGTGTGAGCCACCAGTGCCCAGCTTAGATTCAGATTTTCTTAAGGAATAGGTTCAACCTTATATGAGCCAAATCTTTATGGTATTCTGGGAAGACCTTGGAGTGTAAAATTTTGAGATCTTTCCTCAAAAAAAAAAAAAAGGAAAGGGGGGGCTGGGAAGGTAGCTCAGTGGTAGAGCGCTTGCCTTGCATTCATGAGGCCCTGGGTTCAATTCCTTAGCACCACATAAGCAAAAAGAAAAAAGCTGTAGGTCTGGGAAGGTGGCTCAGTGGTAGAGCGCTTGCCTTGCATGCCTGAGGCCCTGGGTTTAATTCCTCAGCACCACATAAGCAAAAAGAAAAAAAAGCCAGAAGTGGCGCTGTAGCTCATGTGGTAGAGCACTAGCTTTGAGCTGAAGAGCTGAGGGACAACGCCCAGGCCCAGAGTTCAGGCCCTACGACCGGACCCCCCCCCCAAAAAAAAAGAAAAGAAAAAGGCTGGAAGTGGTTCTGTGACTCAAGTGGTAGAGCGCTAGCCTTGAGCTGAAGAGCTGAGGGACAGCGCCCAGGCCTAGAGTTCAGGCCCCACAACTGGACCCAAAAAAAAAGAAAAGAAAGGAGATAGAGAAGGGGAAAGGAAAGAAAGGAAGGGAGGGTAGAATAAGAACAGGGGCAGCCAGGCACTGGTGGCTCACCCCTGTAATCCTAGCTACTCAAGAGGCTGAGATCTGAGGATCTGAGATTCTTTTTTCTTTTTTTTTGTCGGTGGTGGAGCCTGAGCGCTGTCCCTCAGCTCTTCAGCTCAAGGCTAGCGCCACAGTGCCACTTCTGGCTTTTTTGCTTATGTGGTACTGAGGAATTGAACCCAGGGCCTCATGCATGCAAGGCAAGCACTCTACCACTGAGCCACCTTCCCAGCCCAATCTGAGATTCTTATCTCCAATTAACCACCAGAAAACAAAGTGGTGCTGTGGCTCAAAGTGGTAGAGTGCTAGCCTTGAGCAAAAAGAGCTCAGGAACAGCATCCAGGCCCCAACTTCAAAATGTTTATATTAGATTTCCATAGTGACAAAGTATCTGTGATAACTAACTTATAAGGAGGAAAAATGTATAAGTTTCAGAAGTTCATTTACTCCCATTTTTTTGGCAGGGGGGTCAGTTCTGGGCATGAACTCTGGGCCTGGGCGCTGTCCCTGAACTCTTCAGCTCAAGGCAAGTGCCCTACCCCTTGAGCCACAGCGCCACTTCCAGTTTTCTGGTGGTTTATTGGAGATAAGAGTCTCATGGACTTTCCTGCCCGGGCTGTCTTTGAATCGCGATCCTCAGATCTCAGCCTCCTGAGTAGCTAGGATGACATGTACCAGCGCCCGGCTAGTCCCATTTCTTAGAGCAAGAGGTTCATATTGGAGCAAAGCTGCTTATCCTGTGGGGACCAGGAATTAGAGACAGATGGATAGAGACAGAGACAGGGAGAGGTCACTAATATAACAAAGCCTTTCCCACACCACCCATTAAGCTATGAATCCATACGTGGATTGACTAATGAGATCAGAGCCCTTATAATTTAATCATCTCCCAAAGTCTCCAACTCTGAACCCGCTGTACTAGGCCCCAAACCCTCAGGATACAGGGGCACTTAAGTTCCAAACTATAACGTTTCTTGCATTTTGTACCTAAAGATAAGTACTTCATATTTCATATGGTTTTGTATATGTTTAAAAAAATACTTGAAATAAAATGTCCTAAGTCTAAGACAAAATATTCTGCTACATTATTTAAGATATTTTCTAGCTGGGTGCTGGTGGCTTACACTTGTACTCCTAGCTACTCAGAAGGCTGAGATCTGAGGATGATGGTTCAAAGCCAGCCCAGGCAGGAAAGTCTGTGAGAATCTTTATCTCCAATAAACTACTCAGAAAAAGCCAGACGTGGCTCTGTGGATCAAGTAGCAGAGCACTAGCCTTGAGCAATAGAAGCTTAGAGATGTCTCTCCTCTCTATGAGAGCATCCACACTCTGTTAGTGGCGTCCTTTTCTTTCTTTGAGGAAAGATCTCAAATTTTTACACTCCAAGGTCTTCCCAGAATACTATAAAGATTTGGTTCATATAAGGATGAACCTATTCCCTACCTTTCTGCTTGTGTTGTTTGCTTATTGTCTGTCTGCTTGCTTGCTTGCATGCTTATTCAATAAAGCTCTGCCGAGTTTTCTTACCATTAAAAAAGAAGAAGAAGCTGCTTAAAGGACAGCACCCAGGCCCTAAGTTCAAAGCCTAGGACTAGTCAAAAATATATTTTCTAAACAGGGATTTACTAATTGCCTTTTTTCTTTTTAGTTTATTCCAGTTGTACAAACAGAAAGTGAACACAACCCTCCTGTGAACCGAAGTTACTTTGCGTGGATTAACCCTGTAGATGGAGGGTGCCTACTAGAGAAATACAGTGAGAAATATCATGATTTTGGATGTGCATTACTGGCTAATCTTTTTGCCAGTGAGGGCCAACCTGGCAAGGTGATTTTTGTACGAATTTTTGTATAGATTTTTGTACAAGATACAGAATTCTAGTTGGATCAGCTGCACTGTACATTGATAAAAGTGAACTAATCAACTCAAGGGCAGCGAAGGGAAGGAGGGAATGAGAAAGAGGGAACAGCTTACACTAAGCAAACAGAAAGAGATGTATATATCACCTGATTTGGAAAAAAATAGCTATAGTGTCAAACTTTGTAGAGTCCATAGCTTTATAGACTACGATAATGACAATGTGAAGGCTAAAATGTGTTTGTGACTTTAAGTATCACTATCCCACAATATTGTGAAGTTTATGTAATCACTTAAACTCAATAAAGAAAGAATAAAGAGAATTCTAGCTGGGTGCTGGTGGCTCATGCCTGTAATACTAGCTACTCATGAAGCTGAGATCTGAGGATCACGGTTCAGTCTTGCCAGGAAAGTCTGTGGACCCTTATCACCAATTAACCAGAAAAAAAAAAAAAAGGAGAGCTGTAGCTCAAGTGGAAGTATGCTCACCTTGAGCAAAAGAGCTCAGGGATAGCACCCAGGCCCTGAGTTCAAGACCCAAGACTGACAAAATAAAACAATTAAAAACAAGGAAAATCAGTGCTCTGCTTCATATTTTCTTTCTGTGAGAATGCAAATAGATAGTGGTAGCATTTCTAAAGGCTCACTTTTTGTAAAGACAGCTGAAATGAATTAAGAAAAGTAAAACTACCTAATAAAACATAGCGAAAACTTTTACGAGACATGAGAAAGCATCTTAATTACTCCCTTATGCTCATTTACCAGTGATTAACCTTTATTCCAGGAAATTCTCAGCTATTTATCACCATGACATATATGGTCATTCTCTAGAATTCAGTGTACCATGAATAAGACAGGCAAAGGTGGATCTTGCCTGTAATCCTAGCTACTCAGGAAGCTGAGCTGAGATTCATGGTTTGAAATTAACCTAGGGATGCAAAGCCTAGACCCTAATTAACAGCAGAAAGCCAAAAGGGGAGGTGTTGTTCAAGTGTGATGTTCAAGGAACATTAGCCATGAGCAAACAAGCCATATGAGAGCAGTAAGTGGTAGTTAGCACAAAATTTTAAAAAGGATCAGATACTAGTGGTTCATGCCTAGATACTCAGGAGGCTGAGATCTGAGGATCATGGTTTGAAGTCAGCCCAGGCAGGAAAGTCCATGAGACTCATCTTCAATTCCCCACCAAAAATCTGGAAGTAGAGCTGTGGCTCAAGTGGTAAAGCCCTGTCCTTGAGCAAAAAGCTCACAATTCTCAAGCCCTGAGTTCCAGCTTCAGGATTGGCATACACACAGGAGGGAGAAATGGAGGGAAATGGAGGGAAAAGAAGGAAGAAGGGAGAAAGGAAAAGATATTATTTAAAGTTACATGTGTGTGTGTGTATATATATATATATCACATATACATGTAATGTATATATATGTGTGTATGACTAATTAAGAAGTGTTTCAGAGGATTGAGACATCTCAACTCAACCTTGGATGCACTGAACAAATGAGAATATTTTCTTGATGGCACTTAGATAATGCTACATCTAAGTAGTTAATCACATATATTTTGACAGCTTACTGATGTGCTTACTTGTGTTTCCTGTAGGTCATTGAAGTAAAAGCCAAAAAAAGAACTGGACAACTTAACTTTGTGACTTGCATGAGACAGGCTCTGGAAGACCATTATGAAAACAAACCTGTAGGGATGGGAGGTACTTTCCTAATTCAGAAGGGAAAAGTAAAGGCTCACATTATGGTAAGAGCTCAGCATGCATTGCATGATTGGTATGTGTATGTACACATACTCACTACCTTAGAATTTTTAAATATTTATATCTCTAAAGGCATTTTTGTTGAAAATTTGAATATAAAAATAGACATCATGGGCTGGGAAGGTGGCTCAGTGGTAGAGCACTTGCCTTGCATGCATGAGGCCCTGGGTTCGATTCCTCATCACCACATAAGCAAAAAGAAAAAAGCCGGAAGTGGTGCTGTGGCTAAAGTGATAGAGCGCTAGCCTTGAGCTGAAGAGCTGAGGGACAGCGCCCAGGCCCAGAGTTCAGGCCCCATGACTGACCCAAAAAAAAAAAAATTATTAACAAATATTACTTATACAAAGGGGGTTTCATTGTGACATTTCCATACATGCATACAAGGTACCCCTTCAATCTCACTCCTGGATTTAATCCAAAGCCCCACATGCCTAGAAAACTTACTAAACATTACGATCAAAAGCTGAGAGGCACTTGGCAGTGATGGCTCACAGCTGTAATCCTAGCTACTCAGGAGCCAAAAGTGGTGCTGTGGCTCAAGGGATAGAATGCTAACCTTAAGCAAAAGAAGCTCAGGGACAGTGCCTAGTTCCTGAGTTTAAGCCTCAGGGCTTACACAAACACGCACACACACACACACACACACACACACACACACACACACACCATAAAAATACTTATTAGAGGCTAGGAGAAAAAGAGAGAAAAAGATAGTAATTGATTCAGCCTTTCATTTATTCCTAAATTTTAGTTTATACAAATTAGATTTTTTTTCTTTTTCTTTTTTTTTTTTTTTTTTTTGGTGCTAGTCCTGGGGCTCGAACTAGTATATAGAGTCTCTCCCTGAGCTTTTCAGCTCAGAACTAGTACTTTACCACTCTAGTCACAGTTCTACTTAATGGATTTTTTTGGTAGTTAATTGGAAATAAAACTCTCACTGAGCCAGGTGGCTCAAGCCTATAATCGTAGCTAGGAGGCTAAGATCTGAGGATTATGAGTTAGAAGGTAGCCAGGCAGCAAAGTCTATGAGACACTTATCTCCAATTAACCACCAGAAAACCAGAAGTGGAGTTGTGGCTCAAAGTGGTAGAGCACTAGCCTTGAGCAAAAAAACGCTCAGAGCCAGCACCCAGGCCTGAAGATCAAGCCCCATGACCAACAACAATAACAACAAAAGTTGAACTGACTTTTCTGCCCAGGTTTGGCTTGGAACTGTGATCCTCAGCCTCCTGAGTATCTTTGATTATGGGCATAAGGTACTGGCTCCCAATAATTCACTAACTTTTTGAAAATTTAGCTATAATAATAATAAGACCAGCCAGGGGCCTGTCATCCTAGCTACTCAGGAGGTTGAGATTGAGGATTGCCATTCAAAGTTGGCCAGTGCAGGAAAGTCCATGAGACTCTTATCTCCAATAAACCACCAGAAAACCGAAAGTGGCGCTGTAGTTCAAATGGTAGAGCGCTGGCCTTGAGCTGAAGAGCTGAGGGACAGCAGCACTCAGGCCCACTCAAGCCCCATGACCGACTAAAATAATAAAAGGAGGAGGAGGGGGTGGTGGAAGAGGAGGAGGAGGGCTTAAAAGTATAACTGAATTAAATTATGCCATTATAAAAAGAACTTTAATTTTCAATGATACACCATATATTTACCTCTTTCATGATTTGTTGTTACAGTCTGCAGAATTTTCCTCCTGTCCTCTGACTTCTGATGAGCAGGTGAATGAATGGCTGAATTTTTATGAGATGAAGGCTCCTCTGATTTGTCTTCCAGTTTTTATCTCCAGAGACCCAGTAAGTTTTTGCTGTCTTTTATATTACAGTGTACTATAGTGATGGCTTGATGTTAGAATTTAGGCACTTTTTTGTTTCTGCTATTTAAAGACTAAGATAAGCTTTACAATGTTCTTGAAAGATAAGGCATCCTGCATTGAGTCAGGATTATACCTTTGAGAAAGTGAAGCAACAAGATTTTCAGTAAGACCTAAAGCCATGCCATGAAATAGTAGAAACACAACTAGAATCTATTGCTTCTATCTTAGTTTGTGTTTATGTTCTAATTCTACACACTGAATAGAAATGAATATAGACCAGCCAGGTGCTGGTGGCTCATACCTGTAATCCTTGCTATTTAGAAGGCAGATCTGAGGGCTGGGAAGGTGGCTCTGTGGTAGAGCGCTTGCCTTGCATGCCTGAGGCCCTGGGTTCGATTCCTCAGCACCACATAAGCAAAAAGAAAAAAGCCAGTGGTGCTGTGGCTCAGGTGGTAGAGCGCTAGCCTTGAGCTGAAGAGCTGAGGGACAGCGCCCAGGCCCAGAGTTCAGGCCCCACGACCGGACCAAAAAAAAAAAAAAAAAAATAGAAGGCAGATCTGAGAATCATGGGTCAAATTGATCCCAGGCAGAAAAGTCAGTGAGACTCTTATCTCCAATTAACTACCAAAAGGCCAGAAGTGAAGCTGTGGCCCAAACACTAAACTATCAGCCTTGAGCAAAGAAGCTAAGGGTTAGCATCCAGGCCTTGTGTTCAAGCCCCAAACAAACAAACAAAAAGCTTTTTTTATGATCTAATAAGCAACTACCTCAAAGCTATATTGTTGAGTTTTTAAAAATATGTAGAACCATGTGTAGAGAATACTACAATTTGAGTGCAAAGGGAAAAAGTAAATATTTTAGGAAAGATAGGTAAGAAACTACATATATTTGTTGTGTGAAAGGAAAGGAAATGAATGTTAAAGCTAGGGAAGGGATCATTTTACTGAAGGTATCCTTTGATTTCTGGAATCATGTGCTTGGATTGCCTATATTTTAAAATACACAGATGTAGCTAAGTGATATAATGCCTACATATCAGCACATAGCCCTTGGTTCTGCCAAAAAAAAAAAAAGAATGAAAAATTTAAAAATATTGCTGCTTAGTGGCAGAATGCTTGCTTAGCATATGTGAGGCCCTAGGTTTGATGATCAGCACTACAATATAAAATAATAATAATTCTTGGCATGGTGGTGCATACCTATAATCCTAACACTTAGGAATTAGGGATAAGAGAATCACAAGTTCTAGACCAGAGCTACATTAAGACCCTGTTATATACAAACAATGTACACCAAAAAAACTTTTGTAACGTAAATGAAAATAAAACTTTATAGACAACAAAGAAATATTTCTGGTACTGCTTTTGAACTCAGGGATCCAGGGCTCACTACACAAATGCTATACCACTTGAGCTGTGTCCCCAGTGCTTATAGCTTTTGTTGTGTTTTGAATAGGGCCTTATTGGTTTTGCCCAGGCTGTCTTGATCTTCAGTTCTGGCTTCCTACATAACTAGGATGACAGGCCTTCCCCAGCACATCTAGCTTATGGGCTTGGATGTAGCTCATTGGCAAAGTGCTTACCTAGCAGGTGCAACACTCTGGGTTTAGTCCCCAGGGCCAAAAATAAATAAATAAATAGATAGATAAATAAATAAGTAAGGTGTTGATTGAGAAATCTCTGCCTCTTGAACAGTTAGGATTACAGACATGAGACATTACACCCATGTCTTCTTAAACAAATTCTAATCAAAGTAATTAAGAGTGCATGATAAGAGGCTGGGATGGTGGCTCAGTGGTAGAAGGCTTGCCTTGCATGCATGAGGCCCTGGATTCGATTCCTCAGCACTACATAAACAGAAAAAGCCAGAAATGGTGCTATGGCTTACGTGGTAGAGCACCTTGAGCTGAAGAGCTGAGGGACAGTGCCCAGGCCCAGAGTTCAGGCCCCATGACTGACAAAAAGAAAAGAGTGCACGCTAACAAGTTACATCTCTGTTGTTATAGGGGTTTGATTTGCGACTGGAACACACTCATTTCTTTAGTCATCATGGAGAAGGTGGACATTACCATTATGACACTACCCCAGACACTGTGGAGTATCTTGGCTACTTCTCACCTGCCCAGTTTCTCTACCGAATTGATCAGCCAAAAGAGACCCATTCATTTGGGAGAGATTAAATCAGCTAATGCTTGTTTAGAAAAGTAAACTATTAGATTAATCAGCTTGTTAATTGATATCAATATAAAATCCAAAAGAAATTGTTTCTGCTATAATCCTATTTTAATAGTATTTGAAAGGAAGAGGTATATTGACATAGGTTACGTCATAGTTTGTCTGAAAGAGTCTACTGGGACCAAAGATATGTAATTGACATTTATTTTCTTTTTCATGTACTCATTGATCAACATCAATTTTTTGTTCTTCAATATCAACAAAGTCTAGTTTATATTTACATCTCAGCTATGAGCACAAACAGGAATCATGGTAAAAGGAATCATATAGTCATTAATAATGATAATAATTACTACTGTCTGATAGAAACATGTCTGAGTAACATTTAAAATTTCAAGTTAGTCTGACAACTAATACACAGATTATTTTCACGCTTTAGGAAACATTCAGTGTTTCCACAATTTTTTTTTTTTGGGTCCAGTCGTGAGGCCTGAACTCTAGGCCTCAGCTCTTCAGCTCAAGGCTAGTGCTCTACCAATTGAGCCACAGTGCCACTTCTGGCTTTTTTTTTTTTTTTTGCTTATGTGGTGCTGAGGAATCGAACCCAGGGCCTTAGGCATGCAAGGCAAGCACCCTACCACTGAGCCAATTTCCCAGCCCCAACATTCAGTGTTTATAAGATGGGTGCTTGTTGAATTTTAAAAATCCACTAGAAATCAGAATATAGTTTTTTTTTTTTTTCATGGAACAGTGAGCAGTGGGTGGCTTTCACTCTTTCTGTGAATTTGCCTTTCACAAATATTAGCAAAAAGTTGGTTAGCTGTGAATCTTCCCATATTTCTTTTTTCTTTTTCTTTTTTTTTTTTTTGTCGGTGTGGAGCTTGAACTCTGGGCCTTGGAGCTGTCCCTCAGCTCTTGAGCTCAGGGTGAGCACTCTACCACTTGTGCCACAGTTCCACAATGCCACTTTCTGCTTGTTAATTGGAGATAAGAGTCTCACAGACATTCCTACCAGGGCTGGCTTTGAACTGTGATCCTCAGAACTCAGCCTCCTGAGTAGCTAGGATTACAGGCGTGAGCCACTGGCACCTGTCAATTCTTCCCTTCTCGTGATTGCCAATCAGAAGCAGTTTGTACCTTACTGGTTGCTGCAAGAAGGGGAAGGATGAGAATCAGCATCAAAATATATAGATGTTGGGCTGGGAATGTGGCTTAGTGGTAGAGTGCTTGCCTAACATGCATGAAGCCTTGGATTCAATTCCTCAGAACCACATACACAGAAAAAGCCAGAAGTGGCACTGTGGCTCAAGTGGTAGAGTGCTAGCTGGAACAAAAGAGTGCAGGGATATTGCCCAGGCCCTGAGTTCAAGCCCCAGGACTGGCAGAAAAAGTGTAGATGTTACCATGTCACATACTGTATTTTTCAGTGAGATTGTTGCTCAACATGAATCACTGTCTACATGAAATTTTAAAAATCACATTTTTTAACATAATTTTCCTTGGTATTCTGTGTGTTTGTGTGTCTGTGTACACTTATTGCAGGCTTGAACTCAGGGTAAAGAGGCTGTACATTCATTCCACCTTATTTTTCACTGTTGTCACTCTACCACTTGAGCAACAACTCCATTCTAGCTTTTTGTTGGTAAATTGGAGATAATCTCTCTGACTTTTCTTCCTGGATTAACTTTGAACCTTAGTTCTCAGACCTCATCCTCCTAAAAAATTTAAGATTAAGGTGGGAGCCACTGATGCCTGATCTTGATTTTCTTTATATATTAATCACTAGCCAGAAGTCAATTTTACACTCTTGCTAATGTCAACAATGTGTTAATATAGGAACAATATAGTATTAAGCATATAATCTTCAAATAATGTACTTGGATTGTTTTTAATGTTATTTCTAATATGGATTATAAGCATAAAATTTTCAAGTGTTATTTTAAAATAAGCATTAATTTAAAACAAAGAAATGAATAAAAATTTATATCGATATTGTTTCTTTTTCTATTTTGCCTTCTGACAAAAACAATACTAGTATTATTTTAACAAGTATTTGTTGAACACTTATCCTGCACTCTGAAGTGTAAACTTATTGACACCAAGCTGTTTGCTCACCATTGTAGCCATAATACCTTTAACAGTGTCTGGCCAGCCACTCAATAAATTCTTGTTGGAGGAAAAAAATTATTGGATGCAGCTGGGGGTCTGTCATGGAAGAGACAATAAATGTATGTGCATATATATTATATACATATAAATATATATAATACACATTTGGCACTAAGGACTATAAAGAGAAATCAGGGCATGGTCTGTAAAGGAGGATTCTGTTTTGTTGTGACTATCCCACACTAAGACACCTTGTATTCTCTAATTTGGTTTAGATATTGAGACTGGTGAAGACCTTGGAGGTCTGGCTCAGTTGGTGCAGCCAGCCATAACAAGAAAGTAGAGTATGAGGCTAAGGCCAAGTCACTGGCACAATTAAAAAATAAATGTTTTCAAAACTGATGATACACACACCAACAGAGTATTCCTCATGCTAGGCAAGTGGTCTGCCCTGGAACCACATGTACAGCACAGATTTTTTCATTTTTTATTTTTTGTTTGTTGTGGGACTTGAAATCAGGGCCCAGGTACTGTCCCTGAACTCTTTTGCTCAAGGCTAGTGCTCTACTACTTTGAGCCAGTGCCAGTTCCAGTTTTCTGGTGGTTTACTGGAGATAAAGGTCTCATATACTTTCCTGCCTGAGCTAGCTCTGAACCAGGATTCTCAGGTCTTCTGAGTAGCTAGGATTACAGGCATGAGCCACCAGCACTCAGCTCATTGTCTTTTTAAATACACCTGCTAGGTGACTGACAAAGCAATAAGAAATGATTTTTAAGGAGCTAGGCCTACACCATAATCCAGTTCAAAGCCAGCCCAGGCAAAAAAAGTTTGTGAGCCAGGCGCTGGTGGCTCATGCCTGTAATATTAGCTACTCAAGAGGCTGAGATCTGAGGATCATGGTTTAAAGCAAACCCAGGCAAGAAAGTCTGTGAGACTCTTATCTCCAATAAACCACTAGAAAACCAGAAGTGGCGCTGTGGCTCAAGTGGTAGAGCACTAGGCTTGAGCTGAAGAGCTGAGGGACAGCACCCAGGCCCAGAGTTCAAGGCCCAGAGTTCAAGCCCCACAAATTAAAAAAAAAAAAGTTTGTGAGACTCTT